GCTGCCTAGACAGACCCACGCACAACATAGAGATTCTCCTGGACTCAATGACTCCTGCCCAAAGAGCAGTCATGGGTAGGAGAGTCTTTGCTGCATCCTTTCCTGAAAAATGAGTCCTGTGCTCAGTTCCTCCCACCCTGATCATCTTTTGTTTGGAGTACTCCACTGCGTTCTATATAGGGCTACCCTTGAAGAGTATTTGAAGCTACAACTTTACAGAACGCAGCTATGCTGACAGTTCTAGAGGGCCCTAGAGTGACACGTGTAACACTGCTGTTATGCAAGCTGCACTGGCTGCCGGTTTGCTTCTTGGTCTAATTCAAGGTGTTGGTTATTACCTTTAAAGCCTTTCATAGTATAGTTCTGTTTCCTGAGGAATAGGATTGGCCTGTCCCATTATTCTGGCAGAAGGGGTGTGCTACTGACTCTGTCAGTCAAGGAATTCCAGCTCACAGGGTCTTGGAAAGGAGCCTTTTCTGTGATACTCCCAGCTTTTTAGGACATCTTGCCACTGGAAGGGAGATATGCCTCCAGCCTCCTGGCCTTCCAGAAGGGCCTCAGAACCTGGCTTTGCTGATTAGCCTGGCACACCAGTGGGGTCACTTTATGCTGGAGGTGATTGGTGGAATAAGATCCCACCTCCACACCTCTTGGATATTTAATTCCTAATTTTATCTTATTCCTATTAATGTTAATGTTTTAAATATATGTATATTTGTATTTTTATTGTATTGTAAGATGGCCAGAGTTGCTTTAGATAGTGAGATGGGTGGCATATAAATTTAATAATAAAAATATTTCATTTATTATTAGGCTGTTGTAAAACACTCATTCATGGATGAGCTATGTTGTTATTGTGTCTCCATGCAGGCATTAACAGACCAACAGCAGTTTGGCAAAGCTGACGATATGTATGATAAATGTATTGATCTTGAGCCAGATAATGCTACTACCTACGTTCATAAGGGGTAACTATTTGTTTTAATATTAAATTCACCTATAATTATATAATTTTAACTATACAGTAGCATTTCATCTAGTAAAGATAATAATAATAGTACAGAATAATATTCTGCTCATTGTTTCACAACAAAACTTTACTGGTAAAATAGTTGGATTTTAGCCCTAAGTACTATTACTCTGGATCATAGTCTGAAATTGTTGATTTAAACATCAAATGTGAAAGTTGAAAAAGTTAAATTGTACTAAGTTTCTGTTTATCAGTTGCTTAACCAATAAATGAATTAATGAGATGCCCAAATATTCATATTATTTTTTTCTCTCTCAAATATAATGACACCATGAACTTGAATTTAGAATGCCAGTTTGGTAGATCTGTGTGCAGTGACAGAAAGGATCCAGTATTCAAGGACCTTTCTTTCTAGAAAGTGACAAGTAGTCCCTAACTTATGACCATTCCTTTAGCAACTGTTCAGTTATGGTGGCATGAAAAAAGTGACTTACAACCGTTCTTGAACTTACAACCATTGCAACGTTCCCATGGTCACATGATCAATGTTTGGGCACTTAGCATTTACAATGGTTGCAGCATCCTGGGGTCACATGATACCCATTTGCAATCTTCCCTGCCAGCTTACGATAAAGTCAATGGGGGAAATCATTGAAGGCAACAAAAATGCCATAAAATTGGTCATGACTCACATACTGCCCATATTACTTAGTGACAAGTTCCAGTCCCAGTTGGGGTCATACGTTGAGGACTGCCTGTAGAACTTTTGAAGTTTTTTAGCCAGAAAAAAGGAGATAAAGGAGATATATAAAGTGATGCTTAGTATGGAGAAAAGTGAATGGAGAGAAGCTTTTATCTCTCATTTTCAAAACACTACAATTGGGGTCATCCAGTGAAGCTGTACAGAAAGAGATTTAGATCAGATAGAACAAAATATATACTTACATGATCCTGTAAAGTTCATCACTGCAAGAGTTTCATGATGATCGGTAACAGTAGTTTTAAAAGGAGAATGGGTAAATTCATGGAGGGCAAATCTGTCTGTTGTTATTTTGATTCATTGGTTATTTTGTGTAAATATTCCACTGAATACCAATGCTTGTGAAATTATAGCAAAAATAGGGACATGTTTAGATTTCTGTTTCATCTAAAAGTTATCTAATTGGCTATTGTGAAAATGAATCCAAGCCTGATTCAGCAGGACTATTCTTATGTTAGTCATTTTCATGCACATGAGTTGTAGGCTAAACATTTACTATTGATCTGTAATGATTTTTTTCCAGTTTACTTCAGCTTCAGTGGAAGCAAGATTTAGATAAAGGTTTGGAACTTATAAGCAAAGCTATTGAAATTGATAACAAATGTGATTTTGCATATGAAACTATGGGGACAATTGAAGTGCAAAGGTAAATATATTTTTCAAGTTTGGCATCTAAAATTCTGAATTACTGCTGTAGAGTTTATGTATTAGATTCACATATGGTTAGTTCAGGCAGAGTTGAAAGAACCTTTTGTGGTTATATTGTACAAATTTTCCCATTATGAATTTAAAGATAAAATGTTTTCATAGTCTTTCATAGATCAGATGTGCCTAATCATTGAGCTTTTTTGGAGGTGGCCCTGCAGCTGTTCCCAAAATTTTATAATTTATATTTTTTAATGTCCTATTAAACCTCATATCAAATAGTTGTAGACTATTTTTAAACTTTAAATGTATGTGACTGACTTCTATTTGTTGCTGTATCAGTCTTTGCTTCTTTCTTTATAATACATTTTTCACTATTGCAGGGGCAATCTGGACAAAGCCATTGAAATGTTCAACAAAGCTATTAATCTAGCCAAATCAGAAATGGAAATGGCTCACCTCTATTCACTCTGTGATGCTGCTTATGCCCAGACAGAAGTTGCTAAAAAATATGGATTGAAGCCACCAACATTGTAAAAAAAAAAAAAAAAAGGAGGGGAATGATCTTTTACAAAGTAAAGCTGCCCACTTCAGCCTAGTCCTAAAGACACTGTTGCAGTGTGTTGAATGGTGGAAGTTACTTTTTTTTCTGTTTGTGCTGTTGTAATTCTGTTAAATGTTTAGGTGTTGTGGGAATGGCTATTCAAGAAAGGAAGCAATTCCCCCCCCTTGCCTCCCCCATCAAGTAATTGTTAGAGGAAACTTAAAAACAAAATAGCAAGGGGATCAAATATTATTTTGGCCATGCAAATAAAAATCTTCCTGACACTTTTTTTTTATTAGGGTAATTGTTGTGAATGACTGGTTCTAACCACAAGAGTGTTATACAATATGCTGTTCTGTTGATTTTAACAATAGTGCTGTGTATTTTATATATATAAGAATCCTTTTTCATTATTTTAGGTTTGGGGAAACAATAAAAATTGTGAATTGTTTGATGGGGAAGATTTTGTGGCAATAGGTACTGAAGCTTTTTTTTTCCCCAAAAGAAGATCCCATATGCAAACATTACTTCCTTTTGGTTTCTGTTTCATATGAGACAGTGGCTAAACTGATTTCAGGGAATTGCTCTCATAAATAGTTTATAAAACTTGTACAGAGACTTCAAAGCTCATTTGCTGTCACATGAGGGTATTCTGTGTTTCAAAAGCAAATTATTTTGATTTCAAATTGGAAAGAATTTTATTATTGAACAGTTTTTCAAACCAACAATAGCAAAATTTCATAGTCACTACCTAAGAGATTCTGGAACTGTTCAAAACAATATGCTACAATTACTGCGTCATACAAGTAAGAGTTTAGAGCCTTGGAATGAAGCTTGGTTCAAAGACTCTTATTTGGAAACTATAGTTTATTATTTCAGTAAACAATATTTTCTTGTATTGATAGTACAGCAAACAAAGTTTGTAATTCTGTTTAAACAGTCTCACTCTGAATTGGAGTACTTAGAAAATTAAATATTCTGTTATCAATTGCTCCAATGTTGTTGGAAATTCAATCCATAATTCTTGTAGTGCTATTTCAATTATCCAAAATACAATGAATATCTGAAATAAATGAGTATTGGAATTGGAATTTCATTGGAATTTCTTTTTGCCACCAATGCAAAAAAAATCATACTTACAATTTCTTCTCCCAAAAAAGATTGTTATCTTTTTCACTTACTAAAAGATGGTGGCTGAACTGGAATGATTGAGCAAAGTCAAATAATACTGCTCAATGTTCAAATTAGAATTTCAGTACTTTTTAAAAAAGCAGTGCATTGAAATTTAATTTCCTACATCTCCGTCTCCATTTCCCTGCTATGAGTACATCATATTTTCAAACGGGTTTTTATTTGCATGGCTATACAGGCACTTTCTCTTGAAAGCAACGAAGAATTAAGCATGTATGATCTAATACTAGCATTCCGAATTATCAGAATTTTGCCTGTTATTCAGATATTTGAAGCTGCACTGAAACTGCATATGATTCTTTTTGTAAATGACTTATACATGTAAAGTCACCAAATAAATATTATGTTCAGATATCTTTATACATCTGTGGTCTAGGGTATTGGTTAAAGAAATGTTACCGTTATTGGGTAAAAAAAATGTACTAGAAGCTGTTGCAGAAATGAAATTAATGAAACTTCTAAAATTCTGTTTATTTTCTTTGCTGAAATTTGGGGAGAAAATCTATTCTATATTAGGAGTGAGTTTTAGCCTTGAAATACCCCAGTTGTGAGTATAGATTATAATTTTCTTCAAAGTGTGAAATTGGATATTTCAAAAGACATATCTCAGTATTCTGGCTGTTCTAACATTGCCACTAAGCTGTTTTATGACTTCTGATTGGGCTGTATTTTTCAGAATTTTTACAACCCAGCATGTGCAATAGCAAGGACCAATTATGTCGCTGTAGCTCTGAATATAGGGGGATATGGGAATAAAGTGTGTAAAGGAAAGAAACAAGTATATGCTGGACAGAAGAATATTAATAGTCATACAACCTTCTCATCTATTTGATAAGTTGCTATTTTTTAAAAAAAAATGTTATAAACTAGACTTCAAATGGACAAATCAATGGATTCTATTAATGTTTTATTTTGCTGTCAAATAGTGCAGAGGCTGTGTATACACACACAAACATCACATTGATAATGCTGCTGAAGGTTATATAAAGACTATTCTACAACATAAAGGTTGATTTGTTGTACATTAATATTACTCATGCAATTAAGAAGCATCATAAGCCACCATTTTTTGACCAGAAGACATTCTTACAAACAAGCTTAAATTTTATTTTAAAGATTTATATGGCCACCAATCTTAAGTAACTCTGGGTGACTTAAAACAATAATAAAACCAATAAATATTTAAAAAATAAAAACTCTGCACCCCAATTGTCCCCTGGAGATTCTCCATAGCAGGCTCATCTCTCTTTCCATGCTTCCACCCATACAATTCCAGCACCTCAGTAAAGAAAAAGAAAAAAAGCCAACCAATTTTAATGGCCTTCTGAAAGGCTAGAAGGGTGGAGACCTGTCAAATCTCCAGCAGGAAGATGTTCCACAAGGTAGGAAAGCAGTTGCTTGCAGACAAGCAAAACTAAAAAAGTTTAAAAAAGGATCCTACGGTACATAGGCCAAAGATATATTTTTAAAAAGTGTAAGAAAACCTGAAGACAGCTATTATGGAAACTTAAAAGTTAATTGTACTATCTGGCTTGTAATGGGTGATTGAGTGACCAAGACAGTTTATTTAAAGCACTAAATATGTGCAGTCTAGGCAGCTGGAATAGTTCATGATGTTCCAAACCATAAACCATTCCCAGTTTTGAGTATAATTTAAGGGGAGGAAGAGGTTCAGAACATCTTTGGAATGACCAGAATGGTAGGTTTATTAACTGGACTATAATGCCCACATTTCTAAATGGTTCTCTAGATAGAATTATCTGAATTATTGATGAAAACTGAATTGTAGCTTAAGTTCATTCCTTGGCTATCAACTTCCAGATGTGGAACCATCCCAGATTTAGATAAAACTATTCCTGTATGAGGTTTAATCTGATGGAAAGGAACCAGGGAGAATTTATGGATAGCTGTAGCTGCTCAAAATACAAGCTCTTCTGGGTCAGTTGGGGTGTATACTTCATATACATTTTGGAATGTGGAAGTAACGAGAAGGTAACAGAGGCACTATTTGAATCTTTTAATGTTTGGGACTTCTGAGAGACAGCATGCCAAAACTGCTTCTTTAGATAATAACTCAAATCTTTTTGAAGAATGTGTTTATTCATTCATTAAAAACAGCCCGTTTAAAGTCATGTCCAATAATCACTACTGAAGCAGAGATCTAAATGACACTTGCCATTAATTTATTAATTCATGTAAGGTGTCTGCAAAATTAAAGGATTTAAAGTGCTTTACAGTCTGTTCAGAGCTTACACATTGACCAAATGTATCTGGTTTGCAAGTAATTGACTAAATCTTAATGCAGAGAATGTAACCGATTCTTGTACACAAAAGCTCCACGTAAGAACTGGATGAACATTGTTGAGACTTGCATGATGCTTCAAAAGTATCTTCAAAATACTGTTGGGGGAGTTCAACTAATTTAATCTCTGATTATTTTTCATAAAATCAAATAAATACCATACTTCAAAAGAAGCATGCATTTGATAATTTTCAGAAGTAACCAATTTAGGTCAACTAACAAAAAAGGAAACTTTCTGCTTTTACCCAATGTATTATTTTGGTTAAAAAATATATTCTCCAAAGTGGAGCATTTGTTGATGTGACTGATTATTTTCCATTTTCATAGAAATATTTTTATATGTGTCAGAAAAGTTTATAATGCAATACAAAATGTCCAAAAGTTGCACAGACTAAGAAAAATTTAAGCTCAAACTCTCACCATTATATGGAGATCATTTTAATTATCTATAATTTGATTTACTAGTTAATTACACTGAATTACCTAATAATAGCTATTAGAAAATGTCAATCCAAATTAGAATCATACAATTTTTGCTTCCACAGTGTAAAGATCAGATCGTTTCTGGGAAAGAATGGGGATTTGTTCACGGATTTCTTCAGCCTTCTTTAAGTCTGTATAAAAAAAAAATAAAGCCATATTAATCCCAATTCTGTTTATTTCCCATATCAATATGATTAGGCAGCAAGTAGCTTGAACACAATTCCTGCCAACCACTCATTAAAGCATCTGTATTTTTCATGTCTTGTGTGTTCAAAATAAAAGCCATCCCCTAGGAGCCGTATGATCGTAGAAAAAGATGCATGCTTTAATGAATTACAGAAAAGAGCTGCATTTGTGTTCCAGCTACTTCTGATGTATACTGAAGCAAATATGTAGCAATGCAATGACTTGGTATCTGATACTGTATATTTACATCTTTATAAGGCAAATCTTAACAGATTGAACTATTACAATTGCTGCACCTCTTACAGCTGAAAAGTTCTTAAATGACTTCACTGTCATAACCTGAATATGATAAATATTACAACTAACAGGCAGAAAACTGAAACAGAACTTAAGCTAATTTACAAGAGCCTCTGTAAAGATTTAAATTAGTCCTATCAACTCACCTATTTCTGCATAGACAATTGTTTCTTCAGTGCCAGCTTTGGCTATAACTTCACCCCTAAAAGGAAAAGGAAAAGTTTAACAAATTGTGTATTGCCATAGTGAGTGTGGCCTTAGTGATTTCTTAATCCCCTGCTGGTCTTCAGGGTCACTTCCTGGAACTGTTCTAGAAATTTACTTCTTTGGCACTTTTATGTTCTCATGAATGGCGATTGAAAAACAGGAAAGACACATTATTCAAGGAACAGAAATTGGCAAAAATCACTTCCTCAGAGTTGCTTCTTGTTAACAGAATTTAACTGCATTTGTTCAAAGTTGATAACAGAATTCTGGAAGATGAAAAGACAGAATGTGCTTTCAAGTCCTATACAATTCCTCCTTTCTTGTTAAAGGTAAAGATAACCACAGGATCAATGTACTTCAGTTTAAGGCAGTGGTTCTCAACCTTTCTAATGCTGTGACCCCATAATACAGTTCCCCATGTTGTGGTGACCCCCAAGTGGGTGTGGCCACCAATAAGAGAGTAGGACAGCTAGGGAAAAGGAAAAAAATGGCGGACGGCGTGGTTTGGCGACCCCCATGAAATGGTCGTTTGACCCCAAATGGGGTCCCGACCCACAGGTTGAGAACCACTGGTTTAAGGCAATCTTTCCCATCCTGATATAACCGTGATGTGCTGAAATAAGTTCTTCCAAATGTAGTCCTAATATACTTGATGGTTCATGAAGATTGATCTAAAGTAATATTACAGATCAGGAATATGTGAATATGTTCCACATTTGTTATTATCTTACTGAATTTCACAACTTCAAGCTGTGGACTTGTAAGCTTTCTATGAGGTATCTAAAAGCTGTCTATTTTGCACTGATATTTCAAAGCAGAAAGGAACTGGAATGAACCTATCATTTCAAGGCTTATAAAGCATTGATCTTCATTTTCCAGCTAATGAAAAAAAGAGCAAGTGTTCGCATTTAAAAGGTGACAGGCAAGTGTGCTAAAATTCAGCTTAGACAAGATAAAAACTTTTTATGTTATGTAAAATCTGACCTGTTTGAGTATTTTAAACTTCTTGTACTTATTAACTGTATTTTGATTTTCTGATAACACAAGATTGTAAAGCAGTACGTTCTGAAGTAATGTAGGCTTGGACTTAGATACTGAAATGCATTGCCATATCTTTCTCATACACATCTCCCTTCTTTCCTGTACTGTTGGAAGATATTACTAAAAATAACGGTACAAAATTGATACTTCCATCAAAGGTTTAATAATCATTTTACATTTTACAAAACAAAATTAGTCAAAAATAATATGAAACATGTTATCAGGCATGGAGATTTTTCAAATGATTAAAAAGAGAATAGAATACCTAAATTTGTTGCCAGTCATGTCATTAAAAATACATGCAGAATAATTTTTAAAAAGTAGCAATTATCCTCACATGTACCTAAACCTGGCATAAAGAATGTTCAAGCATTATCTCTATGGTGCCTTAGTAGAAAAATGTGTATCTTTGCCCTGGTTACTAAAGATTTTCTCCCTCCATTTTGTTTGAATTCACAGATAACCTCGTCAAAGGATAATTTTTGCTTCCAATGTTTTTTTTAATGACGTTACTGTATATTTTAATTTGGTAATTAACTGTGTCTTGTTGGTTGTAATATATTAGTGGAAGACATTTGTTATCTTACTTACCATGGATTTACTACTGTACTATGTCCCCAAGCCACATAAGATCCTGTCTCATCCCTAGCAGGAGATGCAGTTGCTACATAGATCTGATTATCCACAGCTCTGCCAAAAAGGGAAAGAAAGAGTATCAGCCTACTAGCCCTTTCAGACAGAGTTAAAAATGTGGCACTTGGAGTTTTTTAATTCAATAAAATTAATCAGCAAACACTATATTAGATCACAAGTGACTAAAATAACATCAAATGAGATAACATAGTTGGAGTTTAAATTTTAAAAAGGTTAAATGCAATAACCAAGAGTTACAACAGAGAGAGCCATTTCAACGTAACAAATGTCGGAAAGAGTGTAGGCGCAAATAAATGGATTCTCACCGGCCTCTTTGCAGCAGCTCCCAGTGGGCTGGTCCAGTTGTCAAGTTGAAAGCCCCTGGATATACTAGGAGTTTGCAACCTTAGTTCAAAAGGAAGATAGGATGACAATATGATCAGAAAGATAAAACATATGTAGTAAAGAGTTATTGTATTGTTGATTTGATACGCTTTAGTCAACCCTTCTTTCTATTTGTTTTCAATGGTTAGTCTGTAAAGTATATTTGAAAATATAATTTTAAGAAGTCAGTTTGCACCAAAACCTGCCAGATTAGAATTCCAAACTGATGATTGAAACTAAACTGATAATTGAAAACAATGGCTTGCTCCCCAGCCAGGGTTGATGTTTATTTGTTTAAAGCCTCTATTTTTAGTTGTTTTTTTCTAGTTTTGTACACTACCCAGTATCAACTGGAGATGGGCAACTAATACATTTAAATAATCCTCCTCCTCACTAAAAATGCCCAAATTGGTGAAACTATAGAAAACATTTAGTTGCTTAGAAAAATACATTTACTATTTTAATTCCTAAGGAATGAAACAATAGGAAACCTGGCCTACCTACTCTTTATCATTTAAAAAAAAAAATCTCTAAATTGATGGGAATAACCACATGCCACCTGACTTCTATAAAAGACCCCTTGAGATTACACTTTGATTTGCAATGGGATGATTGCCATTTTGAAGCAGAAAATCTATTAGAACTAGTTCTAATTCTATTCAATTGCAGCACAAATCAGGGTAATTTATACTTGGTAATGTGTGCAGCTAGAGGTGAAAAATATCAGCCTTTCCCTATCTGAAACCAGTGTCATAACTCATGCCACACATTGAAGAACAGGAAGCTCATCTAAACTTTATTTAGACAATTTGGATGCAATGGGAAAAAATTCTAAAATAATCTAATTGAGGCATATAAAAAAGGCAAAACAAAGAGGCTTCAATATCATTTAATGAGAAAAATAACAAATTATGTAAATTAAATGATTTGTATTTCACAGATATTTGAGAAGAATGGACATCACTCCTTCAAATGGTACATTATATCAACACTGAATATACATATTTTAATAGCCATAATCCACACATTTGCTAATTTTTTTCAAGATATTGGTGTTCTCATTCAATCTTTCTCAGATAAGAGCACCAAATCCTGGCTGATTTTAATTCTTTATTATTAATCTATTAAAATATTATTTGGGCTTAAGTGGTTATGTGTTCCATGATACACACACAGAACTGTCAATCGTAAATATTGTCTATAAAAGTTCAACAATGTAGTGCTCCATATAAAGAAAAGGACCGGGCACCATTAATCTCTATAATGCTAAAGCAAACACCCAAGAAACAAGCATATTCTAATTCTGGAAGATAAAATATTTCACACTTTGACAAAAAATTGTTGTCCTCATCATGTCGCGTGCCTTGTGGAATAACACTCCATTAGTCATAAATATGAATGGTCTCAACACTATAGGCCAGTGGTGGCAAACCTTATGTTACGCGTGCCAGAGGTGGCATGCGGAGCCCTCTCTGTGGGCACGCGCCATCGCCCCAGCACACGTGGTCTCTAAAAGTTTGCCATCACTGGCCTAAGACCAGCCAGCCTGGAACCGCCATTGGGGAGCCCACCATCCCACCCACCAGAGACCTCCTGGATCTCCCCCAACCCTGCCCATCTCCCACAGGTGTCCCTCCCCATAAGCAACATTGAGGTGGCCACGCCTACCCAGGCCATGCCCACCCAGTCTGCCATGACAACTGCAGCCACATCCATCCAGTGGCCATGCCCACCCAGTCTGCCACACCCACTGTAGCTGTGCCCGCCTAGTGGGCCATACCCACCCAGCACCCAGCGATACATAAGTGGGTTTTGGGTTGCAGTTTGGGCACTCGGTCTCTAAAAGGTTCGCCATCACTGCTATAGGCCTTCAGGAAAGTGATGAAGACCTGCCTTTTCTCCAAGCACTGGGACCAGGCTGTTAATGAAGCTCTCACATGGTTATATTGTTTATGAATAAAAGATATTTTTACTGGATCCTCAACTTTGTCTCCTTTAAATTTACTTGATTTGATAATTGTGTAGTGTTTTTATCCTTATTTGCTGCACAGTGTTTCTCTAGTACATGAGTAGCCATATACATTTAATTTAATAAATAAATTAAGAGATTTTCTCAACTTTACCTTTCTGGGTGTAGATTTGAGCTAGTTCAGGAAATCGGATGTCATAACAAATGCCAATTCCTATTTTACAGTAAGCTGCATCAAAACAAGATATGCAAGACATTTGTTATTACTACAGATCAACACTGATGTCTCTAGGAATGCAAAACAAAATGTATAAAGTATTTATTATGTCAGAGGAAGAGAATTCTGGTTTTTAATGCCCATATAATAAGCTTGCTCTGAATCACAAATTTCATATCAAGAATTAGTTTTCACCAATTCATATCTTTGTACTAAAAATAGGATTAGGAAATCTGCAAATGAGTAGTTATATAAAGAGAAATTCAGAGTATCTTTTCCAACACCATGAGATACATTAAACATTTATAATGGTACATTTGACCATAATTTATAATCAAATATGAAGGAACAACTGAATGTACATTAGAAATAAATGTTAAACCTGAATAATATCCTAGCTTTAGAAAAAAAATATTAAAAATATTAAATATTAAAAAAAATCTGAAAGTGAATTAGTTTTCACTGCCAAAACCAAAGTTTCTTTACTTACATGTATCCAATACAGAAAACCTGTCACCTGCACTCAGAGTTTCTGATTCCTGGAATTGGATTTTTCCAGGCACATTAATGTCAAACAAATGAATCTGTTTTAAAATTGAAGACAATTCTTGTTTAAAGATCCATTAATTGCATATTATCTGCACAAATCACAGAATGGTACATTGAATATATATCTTCCAATTACTACCATCAACTTTACAATTAAACACAGAGCATAAACGATCAGTCACTAAGCTGAAAGATGACACTGATACATTGAGAGTCAACCATTTTGGTTCTCGCTTCTTGTGAGTAGTAAACGTTTCTGTTAAATCTGTACTAAATAATAGTTTCAGAGAAACTTGAAGCCAGTGGTCTGGAAAAAAGGTACGGTTTTTAACTGCAAGATGTTGATTTTTGGCAGATATTTATGGGAAACAAGGCAGTTAGTTGCCAGAAAGTGCAAGAAATTCATGCACTTCTCAACTAAAGTACACTTTGTCTTAATGCAGCTATATGTACAAACTAATATAGAGTGTCAAATAATAATGTGTACACAAACAACACATACTTCATTTAGATCCCTTGAAAAGGTTTAACTTTCAGAAAGCACCACAGAAGTTTTGTTTAATGGATATGACTACTGGTTAAATTACAATGTCATTCCACCAGCTCTTCCTAGAAATAATTAAGCCAGGATTATTGCAACAGTAAATAATTCACTGGTTAATATAGTTAACAAGGAGTGGATGATTGGGACAGAGCAGAACATTGAAATGTCCTTGTTTTTCTGTGTTACTTCTTTAACACACATGCACACTAATCTCCGTTACGTAATCTATGTTAATTATTACTCTTGGAAGTAATCTCTTATACGTTGGGAGAAGTCAGAGAGAATTAATATCACTTCTTAGTTTTGTTTAAGATTTCCCATTTATAGCAGTAAATACAAAAATGTTTCCACAAGATAAATTTTCAGTTTATAGCTTTAGCCTAAATCTCTACTATTATCACTGTCATACAAGTCATAAAGGAAATAAAACTATGTGATATTTGCCAGCATAGGGAAAGGAACAAATGCCCCTAGACTCAGATGCAGTCAATTTAAATCCAGATATGGAAATGGACATGGGAGACCTTGAGCTCTTCTGTGAAACTTAGAGCCTCTGCTAAGTTGCAGATTCTCAAGCTAAACTCCAGTATTTTAAAACGTTGGTTCGTACTTATGACCATTACTATTTCCCCAAGGTCATGTAATCACCTTTTGCAACCTTTTGACAAGTAAAATCAATGGGAAAGCCGGATTCACTTAAGAATCATGTTTCCAACGTATCAGCTGCAGTGATTCACTTAACAATTGTGGCAAGAAAGTTTGTAAAATGGGGCAAAATTCACTTAATAGATATCTCACTGAACCACAGAAATTTTGGGGTCAATTGTTGTCGTAAGTCGAGGACGACTACCTGCAATGTTGTCAAACTGACAGAAAACAGGGCAAACAAAAAAAAAAATTACCTTTCTATATTTAGCTAACATAGTGCCATCAGGACCAAAAGCTGTACATGTATTATACAATTTTCCTGCATCCTCTTCTGGAATAGAACCTGTTAAAGCAAAGATGATTATTTAGTCAAATAAATAGGCTGTATTTATATACAAAAATAAACTTTAAAAATAACAATTTACCTCCAATGAGATATATGCCACATTCCTTTGCAATTTCTGAGAGCTTGTGTGTGCAGTCTCCAGGAATTTTCTCTGCATATTCTGGAAAATATTTTGTGCCATAGGGACAATTGAAGCATTCCTAGAATGAGAACCAAAATAAATCAGACACCCATGAGGCATATTTAAGGAATATATCTTTTTTAAAAATTAACATATAAATATAAAATGCAAAAATGACTGAACTGATACTGGAATTATACAAACCTGGTTTACATAATATGTAAAGTCATAATACATTATAAATAATGAGAGACAAGCAGTTTGGTGTAGCAAAAACACTTAGAGTTATATACCACTTCACAGTGCTTTACTGCCCTCTCTAAGCAGTTTACAGAGTCAGCACATTGCCCCCAACAATCTGAGTCCTCATTTTACCGACCTTGGAAGGAAGACCGAGTCAACCTTGAGCTGGTGAGACTCAAACTGCCAAACTGCTGATAGCCAGCAGTCAGCGAAAGTAGCTGCAATACTGCATTCTAACCACTACGCCACCAGGGTGTAGCAATTCAGTTGCTTACCTAGAAACCAGGAGACTGGGAATTCTTGACCTCTCTTAGGCATAAAAGCTGATTCTGTGACTTAGAGCCAGTAATTCTTATCAGCCCAATTCATCTCAGAAGTTTGTAATTGTGAGGAAAATAGGAGGTAGGAATATCACGTATATTTACTGCCTGAGTTTATGTGTGTGCTTGTGTGTGTATGTATAAACCAAAGCAAAATAAAAATATAATGCACTTCACTACAATACAAGTAGTCCTTGATTTATGACAGGTTGCTATGATAGTTGAATGTTACAATCGACCCCCCAAAACGGACTAGCAACCCAATTTTGAAGTTGCAACATTTGCTCCCTGGTCACATGACCCACTTTTACAGTACCGTGCAGTCATGTGACGATTTGTTTTTGCCAGAAACCGACATTTACTTCTAGTTTCCAGCAAAAACTGCCCTACAATAAACAATGGGTTCACTTAATGACTACTATATTTGCTTAATGACTGCTGCAAAAAAGATTGTAAAATTAGGTTACTCACATGGGTGACATAATTTACAATTATGATCAGCAGGCTCTATTATAGTCATAAGTCAAGGACTAACTGTATGAATAATCTTCTAGGGGTTTACACAGCACAGTAAACCATAATGTGATGTGTTTGGCTTAATAGCTAAGAAAACACTTAACCTCTGGCCCTCAAAACCTACATTATAGCTTAGCCTGATCTATAAACTTAGGCTTCAAGATATTATGAGCAAATACACTTTTTGCTATTCCAAGAAGCAGACCTTGTTGCTCAGCTGAGATCTCTAGTTGGATGGACATAGAGGTATTTATTTATTTATAAAATTTATTGACTGCCCATCTTACTATAGGGTAACTCTGGGTGGTTTACAGTTACATCTTAATTAAAACATAAAAAGTTAAAACCAAATCTTACAACCAGACACATGGGGAGGGCAGGGGTGGAGGGGGGTGGGGAGATGGAATCTGTTATTAATCAGTACTCTACTGGAGCCGCAAGCCAACTGTCCTAGCCATGTCTTTAGACCCTTACAAAAAGATAGGAGGGTTGAGGCCAACCTCACATCAGAGGGACAGGGGGTTCCAGAGGGTAGGAGCAACAGCAGAGAATGCCCCCTCCTGGACTCCACCAACCGGAATACTCGGGCTGACAGAACTCACAACATGCTTCCTCTGCCGGCATGAGTGGTAACTTGGACTCATACCATGAAGGGCTTTAAAGGTGATCACCAATACCTTGAATTGCACCCAGAAGCAGACTGGTAACCAATGCAGCTTACAGAGCAGTGGTGTCATTTGTGGTGCAGTCAACAAGTATATATTACTTGCTATTTTGGGCAAGTAATATATAAGGCCTTGGATTTTGTCTACATCTGATAAAAGTTCTTTCAACTTCACTCAGCAGAGTCAGAGATAAGCATTTGCAACAAATGTGAAAACTCATTTGGGTCACAGGTATTACTCAATTGCCTTCCTCCCCCCTACATTATAACCCAGTTTGCTTACTATCACTGCAAATGAAGTTGTAATATTCACTTGAAGCCAAAATGAAACCCATTTTTAAATCAAAATAAACTGTCCAGATTCCCGAAATATTTGTCACATGGCTGAAAAAAATATCACACAACCACCGAATTTAAACAAAACATCTGGAAAGAGACCAGTGCTCTGCAGCAAAGCAACAAAATATCAATTTAAAAATGTGTGAAAATACAATATTATAAAACAAGAAAGAAAAAAATGCTTTAAAAACATAAAATGCTGCAATTTTGCAAATACAACTGGAATGAAAAACATTGAAATTTCAATTATACAAGAGTAATGGGTCCTGGACTTGATATGCAGTCTTTAAATTAGTGGATTTAAGGTACCTTGATTCAAAAATTGTTGTGCTATGAAGGTTATAAATCAACAGACAGGATAGTTTTAGTAGTATATAGATGCAGAGGTACTGTAGCTGTAGGTTTTAGTGTTTATCTAAAGGCCAATTTTAATATTCATTCTAATCTTTGAAAGAAATCCCTAACTATGCCAGGGAGAAAAAGTAAGCACCAAATGTAGGGCTCAAGAACAATAAAAAGAAAAATCTGAATTTGGAGAGTAATTTTTGAAAAACGTTATACGCACTGGCAGAATTACAATTTTTGCTCCTTGTCCTGCTGCAGGTCTCACAAGTCTACAGGCTCTGTTCAAGTTGTCTGTTTTGACAGCAGACACATGGAGCTGGATGAGTGCTAAACGAAAATCTAAAGGTAAAAAAAAAGGTAAAGGTTCAGCTATGAAGAAAAACATTTTTTAAAAAATCCTACCATCATTTTTTAATTAGAAAGCTACACCTGCCTCCCACAACCACAAGCAACTAAAAACCTTAAAGAATTGGGGGAACCAAAGACCACATTGTACAGGGATTGGAATCTCAATATAACTATGTAGCTAGACAGCACCAGGATGAAGAAACTGATGTAAAGAAAAAAGAAGGGTTAAGTAGCACTCTTGATTAAAATAATAATTCTGCATCAACCTAATCCCAACAACTAAAGCTTTGCTTTCACTTCCTTACATAAATTGCGTTATAGTTGAATACAAGTTGAACATTAGCAAACTAGATCTGTGATGCAGTTGTTAAAAAACATATTAGTGAAATTAGTTGTTGGTGAATTGTCCCTTTAAAAATAACAATATTACCATTTTTAGGGCTTATACTATAGGAAACTGTGCTATCAATTTTGAGCAATCCTTGCAAAAAGATTCTCCATCCTTAGCTTATCTGGTCACATGAGCAGAAGTAACCAAAAAGAACGAAGCATCCTGGTATCATTCCATGAGACCATGATCATAAAGTATTATTTCTTGAGAGCACAGTACTATAAAATTATTTTAGTTATAAGGTTTTCTAAAATTTCAGATATTAAAAAAAGTTCCAAAGCATCTTTATAAACTTATTGAACCATAATTTACAAAACTGGCAAAATAACAGAACTGCCTATCACCAATGTTTTTCTGCACCTCAGCCCTATGGTATAAATACTGTTGTGTAGACGTACTTCTTAGTACTTCATAACTGGAGTCCAAATGAGCAAACTGAGTAACACATTTAACATTATAACTCATTGCACTGTAATTGAGAGCTGTAAGACATGCCAAATCTCAAATTGCTCCAGTTAGAGGATAAGTTATTTTTTAGTATTAAATATTAATATTAAATAGAGATAAGTTCATTTAAAATATTACTGTAAATGAGAGGCAGTTTATTGTAGTGTTAGGATATCAGGACAGACACCAGGAGACCACCTTAGCTATGAAGCCAATTGAGTGATCTTGGGCCAGTCACTGTCTTTCAGTCCTAAGATGAGGCAATGACAAACCACTTCTGGAAAAAAAAAACGCTTGCAAAGAATCAGATCTGATTGAATGGAAGAAAAAAAAACTTTACTAACATAGTTATAAAACTGGGAATTACACAATACAAACCACATCCATACACATGAGCACACTTCCTTAAGGACTTTATTCCATGCATCTAAAGTGTAGACTGATTCATGAAAGTTATTATGATAATAAATTTATTTCTGTATTTGCTAAGGGTTTTTTCCTTTATATTAAATGCAAAAAACTAACATGAGTATGCATTGAAGTTATCCAAAATTACCACAAAAAAACCCAAAATAGAGTACTTTAAGGTAATATAGAAAAGATGTTCCTAAACAGAAACAGTACCTATTTTAAAAAATTTTTTAAATTGCTCCCCTTACTTGCAACCAAGACAGGACAAGCAGGACCACTGCACGATTACAGCTACATGCATAAAACCTACTTACAACCTACATAAAATCGCACTGACAGGTCTCTAATTAACTTTGTTTAAAAATTAGACACGAAGGAACACAGTACCTCTGCAAAAGGCAAGCCTAAGGCCAAAGACAAAGTTTCTCTTCTTTTTTACCCCTCCCCCCCTTGTTAAGCGTTCAGCGGAAACTAAACTACCTGAGCACACAATCCTTGTAGGAAAAATTACTCACTGGCCATGACTCCTTTCACTAGCTGCATAACATTGATTCTGTAAGGTTTGCCGCTGTCCAGAAAAGGATTCTTAGATAACACAGCGCATGCTCAAAGGGAGCAAAGGCTTCTAGGAAATGTAGTTCTCTTGGAACATTTATTTCCCGGTTTTTAGGTATCTTATGTATGGTCCACAACTCCCACAAGCCCTTGCTCTTAATAGTGTCTCTGAGAATGATGGGAGTTGAAGTCCGAATTATTTGGTGGATTCCAGATTCTCTAACCTTGAAAAGGGGCTTTATTATTTTCTCTTTCCTTCCGCCGTTAGGCCTTTTTTAGTACAATATGTGAAAAGCCTAAAACACCAATATTTCGTCATGGAAAAATGCGAAGAGGAATGATAAGCTTGCTGAATTTGTAATCATTAGCCCTGCAGAGGGAGAGCTATCATGAACGACGCTATATTCCACCATTTGAACAACAAAGATACAGACGGCTGTTACCGTAGAAGCCTATTTGCTGCCATCTAGCAGCCATTTGGAATTTTGCAGCTTTCCTCTTATATACTGAATGCCACTAAAATAAAACTCCCCAAGAATGACAAAATGACAAATGTAGTTAAGTGCAAGGAGCTGCATGTCTTGCTATCTATAAAGACCAAAATTCACATATATTAATAAAACTTCAGCTGAGAGCAACTCATCTGGAAACAGCTATTGGGATCATAGTGGGTAGCTCAATGAAAATGTAAACCCTGAATGTGACTATTAAGAAAAAGAAAATATACTGAGAATGAAATGTTAAATACAACTTCAAATATGATGCTCTTGTAAGTAGAGTGAAATTGATTGGAATGCTGTACACTTCTGATCACTGCATTTCAAACAGAGTATCGTTTTTCACCTTTACCAAAAGTGTGTGTGTGGGGGGGGGGAATAACCAAAGTCAGAGAAATAATTCAAGAACTTGAAGTGTTCTAGTTTACAGCCAAAATGGGTAAAGGGAGGTCATAATAGAGGTACAGTATGTCAATTGTGCATTGTGTCAACAAGTGTGGAAAGTGGTGGGGTGGTTTTTTTGCTTTATTTTTGGTCTTTCTCACAAGCTAAAAATGATTCTAAGAGTTGCCTTGCGGTTAGATGGGCGGCAAACAAAATAAAATAAATAGTAAATAAATAAAAATGATAATAGTACTTCTTTAGAGTGTAGAATTTGATATGACCATCAAAGAGAGTCCCAACAAACTGGTGGAGGATTAATATCTTAAGTAAAGGTTGTAGGGGAGCCAGAGGGAAGGAGCGCCAGTTCTCTCATCCATGCTTTTGAGCTTCTTGAATTCACCTGATTAATGTAACATAGAATTTTGGATTATATGGGCTCTTGACATGCCCATATAGGACTATTTTTATGTTAATATTATTGTAAAAAAATAAAACAAGTTTCTTAATAATTTGTATTCATTTTCAATTTAAATTTTATTACTGTAGATTTTTAACCTACTTTTTAGAATGGCTGCTAGCATGTGTATTCCTGGCTGATCTGGAACCTCCCAAGTGTGTTGGATGAGAAAGGACCATGTTGTTTGGGCGCTGATGTTATTGGGCTGAGAATGGCCAAGCTGAGGAAGTAGACCTGCAAAAATATGTTTTCTGATTTTTTGCAAATTCTAGAAGTGAGATTTTAATTGTTTACTTTCTGTTTAATTGGCAACTCTACTTCAAGATGTGCAGCCTTATGCATATTCTCTGCACCAATAATATTTCTCAATACAGGTAGTCCTTGATTAAAGCAGTTCATTTAGTGACCATTTGAAGTTACAATGGCACTGAAAAAAGTGACTTTTGACCATATTTTACACTTACAACCACTGCAGCATTCTCCTGGTCACATGATCAAAATTCAGGTGCTTGAAAATTGGTTCATACATGATGGTTGCAATATCAGGTTATCTTTTGCAACCTTTTGACAAGCAAAGTCAATGGGAAAACCAGATTCACTTAACAATCATGTTACTAACTTAGCAACTACAGTGATTCACTAAACGACTGTGGCAAGTAAGGTCGTAAAATGGGGCACAACTCATTTGCCAAATATTTCACTTAGCAACATAAATTTTGGGCTCAATTGTCGTAAGTTGAGGACTACCTGTATTTCCTCCTGGGTAATTATCAGTGTAGGCCCCAGTGTATTAAAAGGCCTCTAAAATACTCCTTCAAAATCATGTCCCATAGAACTGACACATGCTCATAATAAATAATAAAATAGATTTGAAAACTGTTGTAAAATGTATTGACTTCACCTAGTTCCTCTGTCTTTCCCACTCTTCTCAGATTTCTTTTATCAGTTTGTTAATGAAACTTGCGACTGAGAGCAAAAAGAGTGTATGTATGTATGCTTAAGGAAAACCTCACTACATTGAAATCAAGAAAGCTAAATGGTCAACAAATAATTCTTCATGTGTTGTCAATTAGTGTGAACCATTTGCCTGCTCATGATCTCAAGGGAACATTGGTGTCTCTGGGAAAGGTGAGCATGTTCTCAACATAAATTATGGACCATGGATCAAGACTATACCTCCAGCAGTCTCAATCCCAAGCACTCCCAAGCCATGAAAGTATCTACTGTATGGACATTCTCAGTCATTTAGGTTATGGTTGTCCCAATGGTGTTTTTCCAAAAGGCAACTGGACTTTCTTAGTTTTTTTCTTTGAAAATGTTTTGCTTTTCATCCAAGAAGCTTCTTGGTTGGAAAGTGAAATGTTTTCAAATAAACAAAACCAAGAAAATCCAGTTGCCTTTTGGAAAAGCACTTTTGGGCCAAGCCATGAAACATTGCCAAGTGGAGAGAGACAATAAGAGAGATGATAAGATGCAAGGAGCACTGATTGACTATAAGATAGATGTAACATACATTCATGCTGAACCTTTCATTTAAAAAGTGCAGCACAGTGGTGCAGTGGTTAGAATGCAATATTGCAGGCTAACTCTTCTGACTGCCAGCAATTCGATCCTGACCAGCTCCACGTTGACTCAGCCTTTCACCCTTCTGTGGTTGGTAAAATGTGAATTGGGGTCAATTGTTGGGGTCAATATGCTGACTCTGTAAACCACTTGGGGAGGGCTGTAAAGCACCATGAAGTGATATATAAATCTAAATGCTGTGAGATATACAAGAAATGTATATGTTGTATATTATAATTTTTCATAATATAGATTAGCTTATATTTTATAAAAACTATTTAGAGCCAGTATTTTAAGGTATAATCATATAGCCAAAGCACAGCCATATTTAACCTTGCTAAAATGATGACTTTCACAACCTTTGGATTGAAGCAGGCATTAGTTACATTGTATAGATAGGCAAGGGAACAGAGTTGAAACATTTGTATCATCCAGTTTAGACAAAGAGGCTCTTATTGTGAGCTGAGTTGGTTGAATGTCATGAACATGAAAAGGGAAAGATAAAGGTAAAACAAAGGGGAATGATTAATTGTACAGTGTCTAATAATTTTACTAGGTGGTCGGAAAGCATGTGACTAGACGACCTATCAACTATGGGACAGGTGTAAAGATTTATGCTGAACTAATTTTGGTGTGGTCTCTGGGATTATACTTGCTGAGATCCACCAGCCTTTGCAAACGCTTCAATAAAACTTGTTTTATTTTCCAACACCTTTGAAGTGGAATTTATTTTATTCTTCACAGTGCTATTGCTATTTTGAAGCAATTTTGAGTAATAAAACATTGTTTTTGAACATTCAAAAACTTGTTGCAAGTCAAATATGATTATTAATTACTGCAATGTTCTAAATACTGCAGACTGAAATACTGTACCTTAAAAGCATACTTGCTTTAGATTAATTAATTATAATGAGATTTACTTTCATTAAAATTGTTTGTAATCTTACACCACGGCTATATGACAATGTAATTTTAAGCATATTTAATCAGTGATCAAATTAGAAATTCATAGGTTTGTGGTCTTAAGTGGAAGGAAAACATTGCTTCTCTTTAAATATTTATGACTTATTTTAGCTGTGAAATCAGGAACATAAAATTAGGCCAAGACCAAAAATATCACCCACAAATTAATATCATATCACTTATTTTATGTCTCATATATGACACTTAGCATTCCCATGCACTCATACAGTGGGCAGTTGTTAAAGATCGAACATTTTCAGTAGTAGCCCTCCTACCCCAGATTTTATTTTGGGTCTAGGCCAGGGGTAGGCAACCTTGGTTCTTTTATGACTCGTGGACTTCAACTCCCAGAATTCCTGAGCCAGCCATGCTGGCTCAGGAATTCTGGGAGTTGAAGTCCACAAGTCATAAAAGAGTCAAGGTTGCCTACCCCTGGTCTAGGCAGTTATTTAGGCAGGTCTTTTAGCTTGTTAAATTTCTATTGTTCTGCATTAAGTGGCTCTAGATCTTTGTTTATGTTAGACTTTCTTCTACACATAGAATTTACAGTATTAATTCATTTCATTGTTGTACAGAATAGCTACAATTTGTTTTTCTTTTCCTAAATACCATCTTCAATTGATCAATTAATATTTATTGTTATATAATAAATTTTATAACAAAAAATTATGTAACAACAGAGCTCCAATCCTCATGGCCTGCTCTAATAATAATGTAGGGGTAGTAAAAGTAAATACAATAAGCTTGGCTGAAACAGGAAAGTTCCGAGTTTAGGATTCAAAGACAAAATATAACTTGAACTTCCTGTGAACAGCCAATCCACCCAATACCTAGTGCAGTGATGGCGAACCTTTCAGAGACCGAGTTTCCAAACTGCAACCCAAAACCCACATGTATCATTGGGTGCCGGGTGGGCGTGGCCATTGGCTGGGTGTGGCCCATTGGGTGGGCATGGCTGCAATGGTAACGCCAGACTGGGTGGGACTAAAAAGTTCAATCAATCAATTCCAACTTTGTGAAATTTTGTTTTTCCCTGCGAGTTGAAATTGATTGATTGAACTTTTTTTTTTTGCACACGGCGGCGGAGGCCTAAAGTGAAAAGGTTTTATAAAACCCAGCTGAAGGCCTAGGACTGGAGCAACGGCGTGCGTGCCCACAGAGAGGGCTCTGCATGCCACCTGTGGCACGTGTGCCATAGGTTCGCCACCATGGACGTAGTGCTTCTTTTGGGGGGATTT